GGCCTGTTCAGAAGTTTTTGCTTCAATTTTTTTAGACCCTGAGGAATGAACTTTTGGACACCCATAGGGCATTATAATGTAATAAGCTTGATACATTTGGTGATTTTCTTCCTTTTGTTTAATAAATCAGATAACTCTAGTTTGTTCAAAGAAGATAAGAGTTCATAATCAAATTGTAGAGTTATAGGAGAGGTTCTCGTATATTAGCATCAGATATTGGAATAAACACTTGGCAGAGATCATGAACAATCACTACGAGTAATCCTCAACCATAATTAAGCCCAAAATTTCTGTTGTGAGTTTTGCCCCATTTTACAGCTTTTCTTGCCACAGTTGTTAAATGAATCACTGCAGTAGTTAAGTTAGTAACCCGGTTGTTACATGAATCCGACTTCCCCATGGACTTTTGCTTGTCCAGAAGGTCGCAGATGGGGACCACATGACCCTGGGACACAATGACCGTCATAAAAATGAACTGGTTGCCAAGCATTTTATTTTTGGTCACATGATCATGGGGAAGCTGCAACGGTCGCAACGGTAAAAAAACGATCATAAGTCACACTTTTCAGTGCCGTTGTAACTTTGAACGGTCACTAACCGAACTGTTGTAAGTTGAGGACTGCCCATACTTAACTTACCTGAGATATTCAGCAATTTGATTTGGGATCTTGTGACCTCCGTATTCTTGGTTCTTTGAAGAAATTGAGATTGAATATACAATTCTCAGCACTGATTCAATAAAATGTCCAGCAGTTCCCAGGTTTTTTTGGTGGGAAACAATAATTGATATTAAATCCATATCATCCTTTAAAACTGTTTCTCCATCCTGCTTACTAGAAGATGTATAGACGTCAACTCCCGGAATTTCTTCGCCAGCCACTTTGGCTGGGGAATTCTGGGAGTTGAAGTCCACACCTCTTCAAGTGGCCAAGGAGCTGACTTGAGAATTCTGGGAGTTGAAGTCCAGAATTTCCTCACCAGCCACACTGGCTGGGGAATTCTGGGAGTTGAAGTTCACACATCTTCATGTGGAGAAACACTGCTTTAAACCATTACGGTTCATTACTTTAAGTTTAATTTGTCTATTTCAATAAGATAACTCAGGTTGGCTTTTATTTTAATTTCATGTTGGTATAGTCAGCTGCTTGGTGCTTCAGGACAGGCCTCTGACCACTTGTGATTTACTAGGCAAAACATTAGTTGTGATCTAAATCTATAAGAAATTGGCCAGATTAAAAAAAATAAATCTGCTCATCTCTTTTTAAACAGTCCAAAACAGGCAACCAAAATGGAAGGGCTTCTGAATCCCTACGTGGGACGCCAGCTATCTTGGTTGGAAGAATGGTGTCTGTAGGCTGGCTCTGTTTTATCTGATGAGCTTATTTCATTGAATATATAAGCTTAATTTGCTTGGGGAAGCCGCAAATCTCATATTTGGTTAAGGTCTCCCTTCGTCCTATAGTTTTCAGACTGGAGTCAGAGAAGGAAGTCAACTTGTCCAACATTCTGGTTGGAGATGGTGGAAACAAGACTGGGTCTACCTTAATTTCCTCTTCAGCAGAAGCTACCTGTAAAGCCGCTGGGGGAGATCATTCGTGGTTTTGGGGTGGATTTCCATCAGTACGCTGACGATACTCAGCTGTACATTTCCACCCCAGACCACCCCAACGTTGCCCTTGACGTGATGGCCCGTTGCCTGGAGGCCGTACGGGTCTGGATGGGGAGGAACAGACTCAGGCTCAACCCTTCCAAGACCGAGTGGCTGTGG